TTGTCCTACAGCGCTGTTATTGCAGACAGTCAAACGTGGGGTCTGAGAGCTGGGGTGCAGATGACTCTCCATAAGTCTGCCACACACAGAAAAAGTTACCGCAGCTCGAAGAGAAAGAGGTTCGTGGAATCATAGAATATCCCGAGTTGGAAAGGACCTATAAGGATCATCAAGTCCAACTCCTAGGTTCTTCAGTTTGGGGCTGAGAAACGAGGGACTTTCAGGGCTGTCTGCAACTGGTTAAGGAAAGATTCCTTTCACGGTCTCAGATTTATGCCACCGGGCTTAAATGGCAAGGTTTTTATTCTCTTGGCAAAGCCCTTTTTCTCCAGAACTGACAATATGGGCACTTCCCCTTTCTGCACGTGGGCCCCAAACTTTTTGAAAGACGAGATGTGCTAGGAAAACAGAAGCTGTGTTCTAGCTTCTCCCTCCATCTGCACAGCAGCTTGCTCCCAAGGGAAATGCATCTCTAGCCCTTTCCCATATTTGTTCCCTTATAAGGAAGGCTTTCCAGACACTTGGAAGAAACCCCTGCTTTTCTTCCCAACTTCACTCTCAGGCAGGTTTTGGGTTTTAAATCCATCATATAGCTGGATTGGCCAGAATTGGCTCCTCTGTACCTTATCTTTTACCCCTCAAACACACGCCAATGAACACGCAGAGAAGGGAATGCAATGGAATTATAAATGTTCTTCTGCACGAGAAGGTTCAAAGCTTTGCTGATTGTCCAGATAGTGCCCAACTTGGTAATTTAGTGCCATATTCTTCTAGCAGCTGTCTAGCTAGGTTAAGCCAGTCTCAAACTCTACAACTCTAATTTACAGAGTTCATACTTTTTGGCTAGGACAGATATCCAAGAACACCTGTGTTTGAATGCTTGGGTATTTGCCAAATTGTACTAGTCTAGAGGGAGAAATAGAAACAGACGGGTTGGCTAGCAGATAAGCATTATTACTGGAGTAAAAGCTTGGCTGCTAGAAAATCAGATTTACATTTCTCAGGAGGAGAAATACTGCCTTATAGGAGACAAGCATTTGATCCCATCTACAATCTCAAGACAGGCATGTTATATAAACAGATTAATTATTGCCATCAATAACATGTTTTTCCAACCTTTCTTCTTTCTTGTTTTTCCTCCACAAATCCTCTTATTCCTGTTTCTCTCTACTGGACCTTTCCCAATACAACAAATCTCTTTTGAATGGTCATGCCCAAAAGTGGACAGTCTGTTCACACTGAGGTCCCAGAATGACATGCTGACTAGAATGGAATTCTTCCTTTTTACACACGATGTTTAAGTTAACACACCCTAGAAGTACCCCCTGCTCCCATCCCCCCCCCCCCTTTTTTTTTTTTTTTTACAAAGGTATCCAGGGAGGGTGGGGCGGTGTCAGTTTGTTTTTTAAATTTGCTTAGATCAATTAATCCCCTTCCCATATATCTTAACTACTAATGCCATTTACCATTCTGCATTGACAATTTTTTCTCCTATCTATTGACAGTTCGTAATACTTGACTGTATGAATTTCAGTGCAGACTGTTGGTGATGATCTTGGACTTTCTCTCTAATACACTGAGCATGGCTTTAAAAGGTAACGTTGATCTTCATAGTGTCTCCAATCCCCCCTCAGCTCAATGCTTCTTGCAGTTCTTACAATTTTTTTCAAGTGTGTTCACTGGTACCTTAGCCAAGAGGTTAGTGCACTCATACAACAGAGGTAGAAAAGGACTAATGTATGCAGGAAAATGCAAAAAGGCTTTACTACAATAAAGATATGTTGCATCTGTTTCTTCTCTCTTATCCACAAGAGCAGTCACTCATGAAGGAGGAGATTTGCTTTTAGCAAATCCACAGTGGCTGCATCTGAGCACATATTATGTTCTAGGCACTTAAGAGCTGATCATCAACTCAGCGGTCTGGCATCTTTCCATACACTGAGGTTGCGTCCTGCAGTCCTGGTGTAATCTCCACATTCTCAGGCAAAGTGGGGTATGCTTTCAAAGCCCTAACACACACCTATCAACAGAATCAGTAAGGATTCTGAACGTTTGTCAGCTGTCCTGTAAGTATTTTAGATAATATTTTGTCATTGATAGTACGTACACGTCTACATTATCCACAGATCTTCAACATGCTCTTGCCCTGGGTTCATTTAATGAGTTGTGTTAAGCACTTCTCCAAGAGACTTTTTAGATTTTTTGGTGATAAACACTCAACTGAAAAATAATAAATAATTATTTGTTTCTTCTCTTTCACCAGGCATGATTATCTTTTCTGCAGTCCATTAACGTAGTAGTTTTCCCTCCTCCTAGATCCATAATCATGGGCCACGATGATATTTTCATTTCTTCTTCACCTTAACTTAAATTGCACTATTTTCTTATAGTTTATAAACATACTTCCTTCCACACCTAGATTATCGGTCAGGAGAACGTGTCCTCCTTTGACAGCAGCCTGCATTTATGTTGACTTAAACTGATCATGGTACCGAAGTCTTACAGTGACACTAGACTAATCCAATCTAACATCTCACCTCCACTGAAATGTAGAGTCTTGCTCTCCTTTACTTTCCTCATTTTCAGTCCCATTTTCCTGTTCTGGTTCTTGTTCCAGCTTTAACACTCACCCTTGAGAGAGCTGATTCAGCTCATTAAACCAAAAGAAGAGAAATCTGTTGTTTGGGCTTTTTGATAGTTTATTTTCCCGCACGGAAAGATGGATAATATCACTTAGCCCATTTCACCTAATTGCAATCTCATGCTGTTTTGCATGAGTTTAAAGTCATCTAAATTGGAGCTGCCATATTTATTCCTTCATCCCCATCTAAGCAACTGTGTCCCTTTGCTTGTGTCATCACTAACACTCATACTAATAGATGGTGAACCAGCCAGGGAGGCTGACTTCAGCCAAAAACTATTTGCCTTTTTTTTTTTTTTTTTTTTTTTTTGCTAAGTCATTTGTTTACATTTCTGTGCTTTTTAGAGAAGCAGCCCTTATTCAAATCTATCAGGGTTTTTCTAACTTAAATACTGTTTCCCATAGTCATCTCTTTATTGTATTTAAACTGGTCTATTTAAATGCCAGGTGATGATGACACCTCTCATGGACACCACGAGCTTCAGGAAGTATTCAGACCAGCATTTTCACTACAACAGAATGCAAGCCCTATAACTAAGACCATTTTTAGCATTCTGGAGGTAAAATAGTTTGGTTTATTCTTACCAGGAGGAGCTTGCAACCTCAACAATCAAGATAAAAGGAATATTTTCCTCATACTTAAAAGGCACAAAAACATTAAGACAGACGAATTAAAGAGGCAATTTGTCAAAGATGCTTAGTTGCTTACATAGATTAGTGAAGGAGTAACAAAGCAAACCAACAACTTCCAGTTCTACAGTCCCTATCCCATGCATAGTCACCATGTCAAACTTTATTAGATAAATAATCATTATCTTGTTCTTAAGCAGCAGAACCTTTGCCACAGTTCAGTGCTCCTTCCTTTATCAGGAAGTCTTATGAATCGCAGTGACCTCCTCTACTCTGTCACACTTACCATGCGAGGACAAAAAATCATAAATCACCTGTCTGCAAATGCAGTTTCACATTACACAGCTCTGAGACACACCTGAGAATACTGTTACATAAACATTCACAAATCCAGCTCATTTATAATTGCTATTTTTAGAATGTTCTGAAACATTCAGTGCCTTGATATCAAATTTCAACAAGTTTTATTTCAGTATCATGCATCAAGAAAAAATCCAGAATGCATGTAAAAAAAAAAAACCTTAGGACATTTCTGTGAGGAAATCTCTCTTCATTTCTGTCAGTCTTTACCTGCTTGTCAAAACTGCACATTGGAAACTTCTCTACTACTATTTTTTTTATCCACTGCAACCCAGAAAAAAAGAGAACAAAAGTTGCTGACTCCTCAGTTCATAGCCAGATTTCACGATGCTGTAACATTCCTGCTTGCCTATCATACAGTGACATTTTCTGACTTCAGAACACCTTTTCCTGAAATCTGCAGCATATTTTTTCAAAGTACACTTACTGTGTTCTCTCAGTTGCTCGTGATGGTGTAAGTTTTCATTATGGAAACGCTGTTTTCCAAATGTCAAAGTCTGTGTACTCAGATTAACAAGTTTCTTAATTACATCTTCTGGGGAAATATTTGATTCCTTACTTCCTTTCTTTCATCAGCATTTCTTTCATCAGCATATTACAGTTGTGTGTCCATTCTCCCCCTGCCAACATTACAATCTTGCTAGAAAATTAGTTGTGTTTTGTGTCATATTCTTTAATTTGGGCCTGTATTACACATGCTCTAGACTCCTATTTGTCCACAAAGTTTTCTGTAGATGTACCTTAGATGCACAAATACCAAGAACAAAGGTATGTAAGAAATTAGCTGAAATACCACCAAAAAATAAAGCAACCCAATTTTCACCTCAACAGAATTGCTGAACATCAGTCTTACTGAAGTTTACTGCTAAGGCAAAGAACACCTCTCACAGAGACCACATCTATTTCTGATCTCAGAGCAAAGCACTTTCCAATGTTTATGAAAACAAAGGCTGTTTCCCTGATACTGTTTATGTCTCAGAAGCTATTCAAATTTGAGAATCTAGAACATTATGAGCTCCTAAGTTACATGCCATATCATGCATCCTAGATACATGCCACAGATGTAGTCTCACTCCTTATTAGGACAAAAATCCTGAGCAAAAACAAACAGAAAAGCAGCAAATTCTATTCAGAAAGTCACTGACTCCCTACTATTCAATGTCTTCTCCCTAGAAAAGCCTATGTTATTGACGTTAACCCAACAGACATCTTTTGCTTACATACATTTACATATTATACATGTACCCTGAGCCCCATCCTACATTCATTTATGCAAAATAACTGGTTTCATTTGTTTTCCTCACCAGTCAGAAAAAAGCAATTTTGTTTTTTCCATGTGATGACAGAAAAAATAATACCGTTTACTTACCGAAGGATTTCTTTCCGAGTGAAGAATGTGCAATCCTGTTAAAAAAACAAAATGTATTACCATACAAAAGAAATATTGAAAGTGGGTGCAAAGGATTACTTTTTAATGTTTCGGAGAAAACTGAGAGCTGGCAGAAAAACATTAAAGATACCATTTATGTACCATCTGGTTTTGATTTGGAAAGCAATATATGCTATAAAGTAACTCTATAGAAAGCAATGAATGTTATAATATAATTGAAACATCCTAACATGTTGTTTTATTTTGTTTAAAGGGGAAGTTATGCCCTGTATTCAAAACTAGAAACACTGATGATAATGAAATACTGGATGATCAGTTCTGCACATTGCTCAGGCCCTGAGTTTAGAGAACATGCAAGTTTGTGTCTCAGAGTTACTGGCTGATGGGAGGGTGGGAGCGCCAGAGTGCTAGATGCTAGTATAACCAAACCACAACACTCCTGATGATTACCTGCTTCTCTCACAGGCCTGGGTGATGTGGCAGAGCATACGCTTAAGAATTCAGCTCCTATCATAATAGGTTTTCTCCTTTAATGCAAACATTTAAAAAATACATCCTAAAATCAACTAGTGACAAGATAACAGACAGACTTGTTATGCTGTACCTATAAGCACATAGAGCTACTGCACCCTCACCCTGGTCCTGCTCTTCAGTCAACTACTGAAAATGCATTTTGTCCCTAAGGTGAGAATTAATCTGGCTAAATGCCTGCTTCTTCAAAGGGTGAGGGGGGGGGAAAGCAAATGATCACAGCTAGCTGAAGCAATCAACCAGCTCATCTCAGGTATCCAGGTACGGTATCAGTCCTGCCTGGTATCAATTATTGAGTTTGCTTGCTCTCCTCTGCACCAAGCAGGAGCAGAAGCAGCTTTCCCTTCTGTGTATTGTGTAGCAGAATAGTGTTACAAGGCAGGATAGGAAGGCACACCGTGAGCTGCCAACAAAGATGTCACATTGTCTGGAACCGCACAAAGTGAAATAGGAGCCAGCTGGGTAAGTCTTCATTAATTCCAGCTTGTTCACCACTTACAGTCAAACTGCCACTAAAGGATGCATCATTTACTAATGAAAGGCAGGTGCAATCTCACAAATGATGGTGGTGCCCTGAGCAGCAATCATCCTGTAATTATATAGGCTTGAGAAAACAGCAGACACTGTTACTTAACTAGAAAGCTGACACAGAACTGATACACAGATAGAGATAAAGACGAACAAGATGAGTTACCCTTCACCTTCTAGAACTCTTGTGAGAGCACCACTAAAAACCACAGCAAGATGTCATATCATAAACCTTTTCCAATGAACGTCCACATTTATTTATTTTTTTAAATCTGAGTCACTTCACTTCTTTGACAGCAAACACTGTATTAGTTTTATCAAAGGAATTTTTTAGTACTGTAATCTAAAAACATGGACACTGGAAACCTTTATAACAAAAGACAACACAATCCTGTTTCCCTGTAATAGCAAGTATTTGCCTGACCACTGATGCTGACTGCAGTATTCCAAATACGCCTGACAATTACATGGCATTGTGTATTAGGGGTGTCACAAAATTTACAATGATTTCTGAGACCACTTTCAGAGAGCTTAGAGCTATTCAATGTCAAGGCACCAAGGTCAGGACCGTGGCTTCTACTTCCAACCCACAGCAAGACCTTACACACCACTTAAAAAATGCTTTGCCTGGCTGATCCTGAACAGCAAATGCAAAAGCCATGGCTCCAGCCTCTGAGAGGGAAGTCCAGCCAGCTCTCCTGCTTCTCTCAGCTAATTTCTGTTCTTCCTTTATGCTGACTTCATGCCAATGAGTAGTGTAACTGCATCAGAGAATTCAGAGAAGGAACTAATGTGTTTGGAAACTAAACATCCAAAAAGGGATTCGTTTTCAGCTTGGATCACCTCCTTGTTGTGGCTTGGAACAATGTCACTAATTCTAGCACCAGTGTTGAGAGAAGAAACTAAAACAAGTCATTACTGGTGGGAGGGAAGAGGTATAGGACTACCCTTTTTGTTGGAAGCACAGCCCCAAGTTGGATTAAAGTCACCATGGAACCCAGGTCTAAATATAATTTCATTTTGTATTTGCTGTAACTCCATCAATTTAATTCAAATCTAATTAAAGACTTTTGGCCAGAGAAACAAGGAGGTGAATCATCCAATTTTCTTCTGGCTACTTCATTCATACAGAAAACACAAAATGATGGACAATAAATAGTAAATAAACATGTCAAATTAAGTCCCTCATATGGAAATGTGAAATGGGTCCTGGGAAGTATGCATATGCCTACATCAATCTTCCTTTAAGCTATGAATATCATGGAACACATTGTTACCATGTAGACGGTATTTTAGTCTACCACTGATTTACAAAGCAATCTGCCTTATTCTGTTTGGACACTAAAGCCATGAGGAGTTCTGCTAGAAAAGCACAGGCTAAACACTCAAAGGAATGTGACCACAGCTTTCATAATTTGTATCAGTTCTAGATTTCCAGCAAGAACTTATCCTGGAAATGGAGGCTTTTATTTCTAATGCTACACAATGGCCTGAAAAACTACTGCTAACAGGAGGTCCCCTGTGGGTTTCAGATTATTTAGGACAGAGGTCTTGCCTTGAAAGATTACCTACTCCTGCACTTGAGAGAATACCCGCTCCTTTTCTAAGATCAACTATCCCACTTGGTCTGTCCTTGTGCCCTCAGTAATTAAACTAATTAGAAGTGTGACAAAGGAACACTGAATATATATATATATATTTTTGGAGATAACACAAATCTGCAATTACACGCTTCCTTATGGCTAATGACGACTGAAAAACAAAGCAAACAATTTTGTCCATTGATTTCAATTAGATCATTAACTCATATAATGGAACTTGATTCTCAAATGTGGCATTTAGGTAGCTTAACTGGTTCTTAAAATATTCTGCAGAATAAAGAGGCATATAGCTGGTGTGCTTTGGTTTTATGGGTGGCTTTGCTCTTGGCTGGTGGTGTGACCTTCTGCTAGTCACACAGTGCTGCTCAAAGCTAGATTAACAGTCTCTGCTCTTAAAATTTCCTTTATAAAACAGCATAATGTAAAGAGTTTAGCAAAACCAGAACTGGCATTTTATTCTTTCACCTGCTATGTCAGGTGAATGCAAGTTTAGGACAAGATGGTAACAGACAAACACAGCAGTCCACTACCTTGTCTACTAGTCTGTAAGACTTCACTGCAAACTCCTAGATCAGTTCTACTTTATGTTTAGCTCTACAGGGATTTGAGCAAAAAATAGGAGTAGAGTTAACCGTGCTAAGAATGCTGATTAATCAGCATTAATTTTATGTAATGTACACATACAGAGTGTAATGTGCAGTATTATTCTGGAACTGGACCATGTGTAATTTGTTCTGCAAGATCTACTGGCTATCCCAGAGAGCAGAATGCAGTTTATGAGTTTTAGCAGTCCACTGAATAAAAGATTATCACTTACCACCTTTAGAAGCAAAGATTGTTGTGCATAAAGCACAATTTTCAAATAAAATTAATTGTACATAGAGAAGGGCAATATTTATCTGCAGGATGGAAGAGAAGAAAAACTGGATAACAACCAAATGAGAAAAGGGCAGCACTCAAATGTGCAAGTCTATTGCAAAATAGCATTTCATACACCCATTATATTTCTCTTCAATAACAATAGTTGTATAATTGTGTCATTTATGTGCATAATTTCAGAAAGGCAGGATTAGTTTGATCCTGCAACAGCTTCATCAGAACATTTTATAAGTAAATAAATAATACAAAACAGTCCTAGCAATATAAAAGTCACTTCAAATTAGAAGGAATCTCAAACAAGAGCCAACAAGCCACAGATAAAATAAACCAACAAATAACAGGAACTTTAAAAATATCCTCAGTGCAAGATAGATTACATACTTCTAGCTATATTACTGAGCAGCTTTTAAGAAAATGACAAGTACTGAATGCTGCATTTTAAATATTAACATTTTAAATATATATTTCAGGGGTTTCGCTTGTAAGATCACAAATGATCTTTTGCACTGTGACAGAAGTACTCAATGTGCCTAAGAGCCTTTAAATGAAACACCAAGAAAACATCACCTTATGAAGCAATCAGAAACCAAAAGTTAAGAAGACAAAAGGTGATGGACAAAACCTATTCTCATATAGGTAGATGCTCTACTATTAATTTTACTCTTGTAACATTTTTACAAGTGCAGTACTTTATTATTTTTGGATTCTAATTGCCATACAAATAAGAGTGGTATAGAGCTGTGCAAGACTGAGGCATCAGTACATTCATGTATCTTCGTCACTGTAAATACAAAGTTACTGGAAGCCAATGAGACTAACACCAGCCTGGAAGTCGCACATGTGTGCAAGTACTTCAGTAAATCCCAATTTAAATGCTAAAAAAAAAAAATAAAAATGTCACAATCAGTATCTGCACTAGTTACAGTACTGTTATATGGACTTTTATCTTGAAAAATGCTGGTTGCAGCAGACAATATCACTGGAGATTTTCACATTCTCTTTATTTGTAATCATGTTGCTGAACTACAGCCAGAAAACCCCTAAAATCCCCACCAAGTTTCAGTAAGCAAAACCTGCAGCCACAAGAAATAGTTTGTGTATTTGTACTGAGGCACTGGAGTAGAAACAGCTAGACATAAGGAAGTACTGATGAAGAAGCAAACTGTCAGCAAATTTAATTTGGCTCAATCCGTATATGCACCAAACAGTAACATGAAACCGGAATCAGACTACAAGATAATTTCACAAATGCTTCTTCCATCATTATGCTACTTAAAGTTTGCACATTAAAAGCAATTCTTTATGAAACTGAAAAGTGCTTTTAGCAGAAGGTCCTGTAGGACCTGTGACAAGTAGGCTTGTTGCACTTTTGCCCCCAAAAGGGTACATTTTCATCACAGATCCTGACTAAGTCAAGCACAGCTTTTTAAAAAATCCAAAGACAGCTTGATGACCTTTTTTCAAATTTAAAAATGGCATTTACTGACATATAATGTAACTTTTTTCTTCTGGTTTTGCATATTTCACGATATATAGTCGAATCCCACTTTGACCAGAATTTTAGTACAAGGAAAAAAGTTAGCTAATTGACAAATTCTTGTTTAAAAAACAATAATGTTATTTTTTCAAATTACTATTATTTTTTGCAGTATTGCATAGAAGACAACCAACTGGCATAAATACCACTTTCTTTTAGTGCTGTATTAAACATATGGGGAAAAAAAATCTAGTAATTAACAAACACAAAAAGAATTGACTTAGAATAAAAACAGTAATACCTGGTATAAAATATTTGCGCCCTACATTCCTTAAGTTATGTCTATTAAGGAAATAACTGGAACACAATTTGTGTCAAATTCAGGCCACCTTTTCATGTAACAGCGAAAGCAGTGAGATTGCTTGAGGAGTAGTTTGTTCAAACTCCAAGCACAGCTTCTACACATTTCTTACTCAATGTAATCATGTTTCTCAGTGAGAAATGCAGTGCACTCAGGCCAATACATGCACCTGATGTTACTGCTTTGGTTTATGTCTTAATTTTCTCCTGCTCCGATTATATTTATATAGCACAACTCAAGGTAAAATTCCTGGTTAATTTACTTTTCTCATTATGGAACTTGGTATCCAAAAGTTGTCCTGTAGACAACTTTTAAAAGCTTAAAATTAAGACGTTATTTGATTGCTAACACTTACCTTTCCCCTAGTCAGACCTTGGTCAGATTTTGCATTTTATGTAGTAAGACAACAAAACAGTCAAGTACTCTAAGGGCACAGGAAAAAGAAATCCCTGACAGAAATCATTTTCTTACATGGCTAACATTGTAACGAGGTGAATCTCAGTGAGGAAACAAATGCCTGCAAAAGCCTAACTCCTTAGATTTCCCTAACATTTCACTAAGCCTATGCCTATGCAAATTTAAAGAGCTGTCAACTAGAACAGGAGCTAAATAAGTTTCCAGGTGATATGACAAGGTGTTAGAAGATTTGCAAGTTGCCAGTCCTTCTTTAGTTAATGTCCTTCTACCTATTCTGAGTATAAAAAAAAAAAACAATGAGAGGTTTAATGTTACTGAGTTCTATTATTCATCTCTTCCAAGAAAAGCTTCAACTGGCTCTCCCATCATCACTCTTTTAGGAGGCTAATTAAAACAGTCATCTATTTTAAAACATTGGTGCACCTTGCAGCTGACCACATTTACATTTCATTTAAATATAAAGGTTGTGCTAAAAGGTGACCCTACAATATGATCATTTATATATTACAAAGTTTTCATGTGGGCATTTCTGAAAAGTTTAAACAAATCAGGTAGGGAGAGTTATTTTATTTCTTTAATATCATATTGATGATCTGAGATTACTGTATGCTAGCTTTTCATGCAGGTGATTTTTCTGCAGCTTAACTTTTACTCCTGAAAACTAAAGTAATTTGTATGTGGATTTACTGTACTTTAAGCAGATTAACTTCTCACTTTTCCATTTTCCTCTTACTATCGGAAGCACCTTCTATGAAACAAGCTCTTAAAACATAACCTGAAAAAAGACTTCACTGCTAAAGTAACATTCAAATGCTGTAAATCCAGAATAACTTGTGTTGAAAGACAAAAATGGTGCAAGTTACCACCAAGTAATAAAATGACCTTAAGCAAATAAATTACAAGTCTAACCATCAGGAGAGGGAGTTTTTGAACAGCTTTCTAATAGGTGCTGATTGACCCTCTTGCTTCTGACATACTGATATGATTCAGTAACCCTGAGTTCTATGATAAGGAGCAGAGCATCAACTCACAAACATCAAATTCTCAAGAAGTTGCCTAGCCCCCATTTGGGATAAGAAAAGGAGTAACCCATCTTTCAGTTTAAAACTTATTTATAAGTATATACCTGGCTACACACTGGGGCACCTATATGCACAACAGGTTGTTGCACATCATGTTTTACTAATGCTAATGAACTACAAGTCCTCCTGTAACAGAGAAATCCCACAGGCTGACTCAATCCAATCGCCCTAACTACTGCAAGGCTTTGAGATCAATTACCCAGCATTATGAAAGGCAGGGGCTGCAAAAGCCATTAGAGGAAGGCAATTTCTAGATGAAGAATAATGAATTAGGGATGACATTTCGGCTCTTGCATTTGCCAGTTTATGTCAAGAAGATAACATTAATTACATTTGGATTTTGTTTTGTTTCACTGCAGTTGGGCTCTGTTCTGTGTTCACTTTTACTGGTAGCAGAAGACAGACATCAGTGTTTTCAGAGATCTGTGATTTCCCTCTTGCCTATCTCACAGGGATGTAAAAAAAAAAAAAAAAAAAAAAAAAAAAAAAAAAAAAAAGTCTGTTTAGAACTTTGGCAACCCAGTCTGCAACTGGTATATTACAGTGACAGACTGCTGGTGAGGATGAGATGTGTAAGGAAATGGAAATTAAAGAAGCTGTCGTTGTATGAAATGTGAAAATGGAGCAAGAACAATGACAAGTATAAAATCCTGATACCAACAGAACTAGGAAATTAATAAGAACATTTAACTTATGCCTTATTTTCACAATTGGATAACATTTTAGAGCATTTTTAACCTGTATGCCTAAACAGACTTGATGTGGATAAATACTTACACCTGTGAAATGTCCGTGTTAGCACTAACTCCCCCCCAAAATTGGTATTTACAATCATAGTTTCAACTACAGGGATAGAAGTCAAAGTTCACAAAGGCAAATACAATGTTATTTACTTTTGTGTGCCTTGGATCTGTCCTTCGGTTATCAGGAGAAACTAAATGTTGATTTCCCACACTGTTAATTCTGTCTGTATTTATCACTTCTTGTAAAAGAACAGAGTGATGCAGCCAGCCCTGTCTGCATCTCAGAACAGGTACTCAGTGCTTCCGTCTTGAGCATACTTCTATTTTCACATATTGCCTCACTTGCTTTTTCATAAACTTGTTTTAAGTGCCCACTGTGCAGAGAGCTTCTCTCAAAGCATTTCAGTAAGATTTAGAGTATGCTAAAACATGAATGAAGACTGGAAATTATTTATTTTCTCGAGTATTAAAAATTCAGTTAAAAAATTGATGTGACAGAAATGAAGTGCCACCAATAAACTACCTCCAGAAATAAGAAGTGTAATTCTTCTGTCAAGAAAGAAACTACCATCCAGGAGTGGATACGAGCATAAAAATACCTATTTTAGATTTACATTAGGTATATTTCTATGAGTCACTGTTAGAAGTGAAAGTAGATGTGTCCTTTTTTTTCCCCTCACACCTAATACAGCAAAGTCAGCACAGATTAAATAAAAATGTTATAGATACACTTCTTTACAAAATGCTCAGTAAGAAGATTGCACCAGAAATTCCCCTTAAGCAAGCTGGTCACAGATTTCACACTGTTTCCCAGCCAGGACATGAGCGATTTGACTCCTCTGTACACAGAGAAGGAAGAATTAGACTGGGCATATTGAACAACCCATCCTTATTATACAAGTATGAGGAAGGAACAGTAAAATATATACATGCATGCTAAAGAGCAAGTTTTTGTTTCTATTTGCAAAAACACTCCCCAAACAAAAACAAAACAAAAACCCATCAACCCACAAACATGCTGAGGTTACTCCTTTCCTTTCAAACTAAGATATCTTACCTGGTAGGCATCCAGCTGTTCATCAGTAAATATTGTCTGCTTATTACCCATCTTAGAAGAGGAATTCTTCCTTTATGCAAATGCATCCCATTAGAAGTAGCTGGATTCCTCTGTGTTGTAGGCATTTAGAGCATGTATACACTGTGAAAGTGCTGAAAAAATCCCAAAGCCTGCATTGAACTGTTTTTGCCTGCACCTGTCCAGCGAGGAAGGAAGCGGTACTGGAAAATCTTTGCAAAGGCTTGACTTCAGTGTGCCAGGAAGAGAAGTGTTGAAGTCATAGGCAGGTGTCACCCCAAAACAATGATGCCTATTTTCCCCTTTTTCAGACGCTTTTTTAACTGACACAGAGCTTTCACGACTTAAAAAACAAGCAGGAAGCACTTGAAGAAATCAGCTCTCTACTGCCTCAGTGTCTCCTTGCTCAGTCTGCGAGTTCAGGGTGCTCTTGCTCGGCACCTTCACGTTTCAGAACAGCTCTGCGTCACCTGATGGCGCTCGGTAGCGCAGTCATGTAACGCACACGCGCAGAGCAAGGCTAGGAACTGGAAGAATGGAGTAGCAAAGCAAGCGTTTCTGCAGTCATTCTCCCCTCAGATCAAAGTACATCCTCATCACTGCTTGGATCTCACCTGCTGTAGCATGCTGCCAAAGTGGGAGCCTCCATCCAGCGGTGTTTAAGTGCCCAAAGCATCCTCACAACACCACCAGGTGCCACGTGGGTTCCACAGTAAACATTTGTGTTCACACTGCGGCTCCATCAGCCCTGGCTACCCAGGGTATAAGCTCGCTACCAGAGGTGCAATACTCTCAGACAGACCAGGAAACGCGAGTATTCCTCTCACGTTAAAGAAACAAATCCGGAAAGTTTAATTAAGTAGCTTAAACAAAAGTTAATCTGACTCTTTCGGCTCAGGCAAACAAAGCTGGGAAGAAAAAATACGCTACTACAGCCTGAAAGAGAGGTGCAGAAAATGCCGCTAGAGGGCTCACAGCATACGTTAAAACAACACGACCCTCCTGTATTTCCTGGAAAGCGAACAACAACAACAACAACAAAAAAAAAAAAAAAGAGCACGTAAGAGATGCAGGCAGGCAGAATGAATGAATAAACTCAGAAACAAAATCATATTATCTAACGTCTGCAGAAGGATGAGCTCTTATAATACGACCAGGAGGAAAGCTGGGTGAGAAAGGATGTGAAGATGGAGGCAAGACCTGTTACAAATAAGCCTCTTCAGCCTGCTCGCTGCCCAGTCGTAAGCATAGGCAGAGCAGAAGTTTTAAAAATGTTTAATAAAATTCCTTCCTTTACCTATAGCTCTGACCATGGTCGTTATTCCTTCAGCAAGTTAGTATATTTAGTATCTGGAGAATTACCTTCTGCTTTTTTCCTACATCTAATGACCCTGACCAGATAATGGCATCGGATAATAGGAGTTGAGTTTACCTTCACATGCAACAAGGAACAAATATTTCACAAAAACACTGAAAATACATCTATCGTATACAGTGTAATGTTCTATGAAATGTGTTGGGTATGTAGTAAAAACATCCAGTGAATGGGGAACAGTCTCTAAGAGACCATTTATTTAGATTGCAACATTTAGAAATGCAGATTTGATTAACTGTAAACCAGCACTGCCTGGTGCTACTAAAACACAGTATTAACATATGTACAAAATTAATTTACTGGGATGAGAATGCATTCAATAACACTTGTTATTAGTGTTAGCTAGCATCAGAATTTTATCAGTGACAGAAATGGACACCACCAACAGAATATATTGCAGCAGTTTCAAAATAAGAAAAAGCTACACTAATAAGGGTAACACAAACTGAATGACCGACCTCCAATCAGATCAACAGTGCAGCAAGCATCTATTCAAATAGCACCCACTTGAATCAACCATTCGCTACCTGGCCAAACTGACCTCTTTTTTATCTAGTCACCAGTTTTTATTTTTTTCACCAATGTATAATGGCGTTGGATTCTTCTTCTGTTCCAAAGAATTACCCCCAAGACAGAATATAAAGAAGAAAAAAGCAAAACATACAAATTAGAGTATTTCTATTTCAACAAACTTTTTGAAACTGAAATCCACCACCCATAATGGCCCTTTGAGATTAAGAAGTTTAAGAACTTCCAGAATGTCCCAGTTCTTACACACCCTCAACTCTGAATAAGTTGTATCACTGGCTTTAGTGGTTAACCATAACATTAAGCACGTTTCTTACTCATGATCTGGTGCTACTGAAATGCACCAACTAGCAGCAGATTGCAGTCATATCAGAACAGTACATAGTCAAGTGATCTGTGTGAAACAGCACTCCTTTCACAACCACCTGATTCAAGCTGCCTGTCTATGCAAATCAGATTAAATATAAACGACCAAACTATCCTCAATGCCATCATACAGAAGTGAATCAACACCAAAGATGGATTGGGCTCCCTATCTTTTCATCTTGTGACTCGGCATACTTGAGAGTGTTATTACAGTGGTAAGACTGACATCTCATTTCTTACCTGCTGTTACATTCTTGGCTTCTTGGTCCCACTGTATCCTAGATGACACACATCAGCCAGTCTTTAGAAACCAAAAATTAAAAATAAAAGAAGAAAGGCTAAATGGAAAGCACCAAGTAGATATGACTTACTTGTGGATACAAAGCAGGCTAGAAGTAGAGTTCCTGAAGTTCACACATTCCTGTTTATTCTTTTGCACCCTCTTCCCACTCTGTCCTCCTCCACTTTTCCATTTAAAAATGCTTTGATTTCATTCTAACATAGAGAAAGTACGTAAGAAAACTAGTATGGCTGAAAGGGATGATTGCTTTAAAAGTTACAAGTTCTTGCTTAAAAAGAAATACATCTTACAAAGGCAATGGCACCCACAGAGCATATGGACAGAAAGCAAACTGTTTCTCTGCATATTCTGAAGATTTTAAATTGTTAAATACCTTTAAAATGTACAGGATTTTTATTATTATTATTTTTTTTACAATAACTTCCAAATACTGATTTTTGAGGGCTCCTGTATACTAGCTAGCTATTTCTCAAGCGTGCTATAGCAGTATCTATATTTCATCATGTAACGATCTTGCTACACTAACCAGGTAAAATTTCAAGACAGCATAAAGTACAAACTCTTTTTCACTCCTATCTCCTCATATATATCAAAGCTCAGTTAAATTTTTCAGTTTGCTCTTTTTCACTTCTTCTGTTTGTATTTTTCAATGATTAGTATAATCTGCCAGTTGAGCGTTAAGCAATATTTACTCCTAGCACATTACTGCCACAAATCAATACTTCTCTATATACACAGCAGACTCTAATCTTAATGTTATCAGTGCCAATTTTGCATCACTTCATGGTATTTGAATTTCCCTAAACTGTTTGTCAAAGGGACTGATTGTAAGCTATTTAGCAACACACAACGTATACCTTACAAAGTTGCAAATTAAGTTTAATGAAGAGGACAAAATATATAAACATAGTAGTCTTGCCATTATACTGGCCATTATAGCAGAGATTATGCTTATGTAGCCACTCCCCATCTATTTCAGAAGTTTAATTAATAGATCAGAAAATAAACTATCAACCACATACACCAGATTTAACATTTTATAGCAAGGCGGCTGTCAGCTGCAATTGCTTAACACCCATCTAAGGCTGCAATCTGACCCCAGCTGTAGGGACTTGCCTCCACAGCCCAGGCAGCTGAACAGATCGTTCTCACAGTTCTGAGTCCCTTCAGTGTAAAGTCTTCTGCTTTGAACTGTTGCTAGCTGTGGTTGCTAAACCAGGTGACTTTGCTCTGATTTATTAGTAGAGGTCTAGGTTTAACAGCCTCCAATAGATAGGTCATCCTACCTTAAATTGCCTCTATAAATTATACAGCAGGAGTTTGACTGTAGTCTAAGAACGAAAGCTCTTATTCCTCCAAGGAAGATCAAGCTACCGTGAACCCTGGCCACGTTACCTCTGAATGCCTCATTCCATGGAGAATTTTCGCATCTGCACACAGTTAACAAGCTGCATATGAGCTGCATTCACTCCCAAAGATCACCTGCTATAAACTTTCTAAGTTTTCATACACAGATACAACACAAAGTTAGGCTTTAGACTGGGGAAAAAAGAACCCGCAGGTTTTTGTGCCCATTATACCAGATACACCAAATCCCCTCCTGCACAGATGCTTCCTTGCAAGTTACCTCTTTGTAAAGTTCCACTCTACTTGCAAAATGGTTTCAATCCAAAAGGGCAGCCTATACAGTTATGTTGTTGCTACTTGTCATGAGTTAAGTTAGGGCAGAATATTAAGAATTAAAAAGTTACCGATTTCCTGAGGTGACATTTGATACCAGGAATTCCTTTAAAGTAACTCTCAATAGAACGAGGGTAAAGAAACTACTGCTATCTCTACAGAGGCATCTTTTGCCTAGGGAAAATAACTGGTGTTTTTATTACTGTGTTGTTTGGCCCTTCTCAGAAGGGATGCACAGCAGCCACTCTTGTGCATCTTGCTTGTTATTGTGGTGTAATTAGAGTAACACCTACGCTGCTCGGGGCTTTAAATCAAAGCTGACACAGTCGTTTGTTCCTATAATTAGCTTCTTGAACTCACAACAAAGCAGCTGACATAAATTGTGTGATAATTAAAAAAATAAAACAAAAAAAAACCGTGCACACTCTGGCAGTACTGTTATTTAAGACAGCAGAGCCTACCGTGCCGCAGCAGGCTGCCTCCACACAACCGTTTGCCAGCAGACCACACGGAGGCTGAGACGATTCCCCCATCTCCCGGGGGCCAAGCCCCTCAGAGGCCGCTACCCCTCGGCTGGAGGTGCCTCCACGCGGTGCCAGGCTCCTAGGGACGCTCAGCGCCCCCAGGCACATGCCCGCAGTGGCCTCTCCCCCTCACCGGGAGCGCTCGGTGCCCCTCAGGGCGGCACCAGGGACTGAAGGGCTCCAACCACATCCCGCCACCTCAGCGCGACCACCGCGAGCGCTGGGCGGGAAACGCAGCGCATGCGCACGGCGCTGCCGGGGCCGGGCTGCCCGGGGCGGGGCGGGGCGGGGCTCGTCCCGGTGCCGGTGCCGGGCTCCTCCCGGTTGCGGGCGCTGTGGCCGTGCCTGCGGGGCCTGCTGGGGCGCGGCGCCGGGCGAGCCATGGCTGCAGCCGCGTGGATGCCCGCGGTAGGTGCGGGGCCGGGCCGGGAGAGCGCCGCCGGTTGTGTCGGGCTGAGGGGGAAGCGCGGGGCTGCGACTGCCGGTTCTGAGGGGAGCGCGGGTGGGGCGGGCGGGGAGGGGGCCGCTGGGCGCTGCGGGGCGACTCCCGCTGCCGTGACCTTGAGGCGGCCCGGCCCGGCCCGGCCCCAGCAAGATGGCTGCGCCGCCCGCACGGAGGGAGGGATGGCGGGGAGCGTGGCGGGGCTCCGAGCGGCCGGGCACGGGGCTCACGCCCTGAGGTGGGACCGAGCCGCTCCCGGCGCCGTGCTCGGGGTGTGCCGCAGCCTCCGCCCGAGGCCCGGTGCCCGCTGTGCCCGTCCGGGGCCCGGCGCGATGCGGGGCCGGAGCCGCGCAGGCAGCGGCTGCTCTCGCCATGGTGAGCGTGGCCGTGCCGCGTGCCTCGGGAGGAGGCTTCCGCACCCCGCTGCGGCACCAAGGGCACGGGTGTGGGGCAAGGACTGAGGCACCCAGCGTGCCCTGCAGGAATCTGCACCGCTGGAAAGCAGCTGTGGAAGCGTGACCTCAGCACCAACGTACTGCGGGTGAAACAAACCTTTCGCTTTGCTATCTTAAGCCGCGTTGTATCATCTCCTCAGCTGGAGTTATTGCGGCTGCTTCCCCGCTGTGTGGCACCTGAGGACTCGGGCTGCTGTGCAACGGCTTCCCCGCACCTCCAGGCACGGAGCGGCACTGCGGCACGGCGTGCCTGGCCCGGCCTGACCCTGCCGGGAACACCCGTGTGCGGAGTTGGGTACACTGCTTGTGGGCAGCTTGGCAAGGCACCAGCTGCTCGCTTTCGAGTTGTGTGCTGGTTTGAGACTGGACTTTAAAGTGACAGGACTTTAAAATGCATAGTCGCTGCACTATTGTTAACTGTTTAAAATCCCTTTGGTGCAATAAGTTAGCAGCTTCTTGTTCTGTGTTTCTGCAGGTTTCACGATTGCTAGGTGCTTTCAAAAACCAAAAACAGGTGACCAGAAGTTTTGGTAGTGCTGTGAGTATGATAGTACCATTTCCTTTTTCTTTTAAGAAGTTTCTCAAGAAAGAGCCCCAGAAATTGACCTTTATAAGATTGCTGCTATTAATTTTATCTTCTCAAAAATAAGGCCAGAATAAATGAACATACAGGCTCTTAATGCCATACTGGATGTATATTGGTTAATCACTGTCTTTGGCTACTTTATATAAAAGAGTAAGTGCTAATTTAAAAGACTCTACTAAAAAAAAAACAAACACCTTTTCCCAAAATATGGGTGTCATAAGCCAGTCTTCTGAAACTCATCAGGATATAGGCAAATTAGGAAGGTTGTTGAGAAGCTTCTCATCTTTATTTTGCAGACATTCTGCTACACGCTGGATTTACTCTAAATCTTGCTGCTTTTAGAGTACTTTGCGTTTACAATTCTGCCTTTTCAAGGCCCTCTTTAATGTATTTAGACACCGGCTGTGTATTTCCCTGTAGATGTTTTACCTTCTTTTTGTGTGTGTTTGAGGTGCCCACAGGCCTTTTTTCAGTGAAGATGGCCTTGAAAACTGCTCAGGCAGAAGCAGGGCTCAGCACCACTGCATGTACCCTTAAGCAGGACTTAAGTTTAAGGAAGAATTGTGGCTCTTAACTCTTAAGTTTTCTAGAACTGATGGTGGAGAGAAGAAACTGAAGTGTAGCTTGTGTCTTACACAGTATAGAAAGTTGTAGAAGGTAAGGCTCCTCCAGATCTGTTTATACCACATTATTGTTTCAGATAAAACCTTCTGAAATTCTGAGTATCCTCTTTGGAGGAGGATGGCAGCATATCTTGTCATTTGATTGTAGTTGGGATTTGACACGTAATGCTGTATCCGAGCTGCCTTTTTGTAGGTAGTAATGATTCCTTACAAAAATATTGGAAATTTATAAGTAAAATCAAGACTTAGGGCATGGAGGATGAAAATAGCAATGATCAATATATTTTTTAATCAAAGCAGAGTACTTTCTTCCCCTGTTATCCAGTGAGCCTAGGGTTTGTGATTTTTTTAATCAGTTTGAAGATGACATAGGAGAGAAAACTGAGAAAATCATGGCAGAAAAATAACTTGACAGGATTAAAAATGAGTGTGCATTTTTTAGAGAACTGCTTGAGAAGTTTAGATATGTTTTTGTTTTTATTTTCTATAAGCTTTACATAAATTAAGTCTTTCCTAGCGTAGGTCAGTATTACACAGCATGTTGATAATACTGGAGATGTATGGAAAACAGATGACAGTGCTGTCTCCTCTCCACTTTTCAAGAAGAAAGCATGTTGAGATCACTTATTTCAAGGAGCACTGAGCAGGAACCTGTCTTTCAAGTTAAATCTGTGTTCTAAAATAAGAACAGTAGGCAAATCTTAAAAAAATTCTCTTAAAATGCTTGCACGCTCCTTTTGAAAAAAAGCTTGTCATTCTTGCTTCTCTGTTCAATACTGCTACCCTTCATAGTGATTTTTGGTAACTCAAACTTTCTTTTCTAGTAGTTACTTGGTTTCTGCAACTTATGAAAATGTTTCCTGCATTGAACATAGCATTCATTAGCTGTGCTACTGGTATTTCTTTGCCTAGGTACAAACAGTAACTTTAATCCCAGGAGATGGCATAGGACCTGAGATTTCTGCTGCTGTGATGAAGATCTTTGATGCTGCCAAAGTAAGTCTACTTGTCTTGCTGTGAGCACTGTAGCTTTAACTACCACAACAGACGTTATCTAGGTTATAGTTACAAATGTTTTTAACTTCCAAACGATTGAGTCATGTTTAAGCTATTAAAACTTCTTGGCAATACAAACAGTCTGAAGCTTCAGATGTTAAAAGATAGTATTGCAATATGGCAGTGTTTGAAAGTGTTAGCTGGCAGAGTAGTAGTGACTTGAGAGCAAATGTTGCACTTAAGTTCTGGAAATGTCAACTCAATGTATCATGTGAAATCATCTTGTTGATGTAGCAATCCTGAGCGACTGATAGGACCTTCTTTGATCCGTTGTGACTTCTCAGTGCAGATCAAAGCATATGTGAAGGGAAGGAACTATTTTATTATTAGAAACCTTACTGCAGTTATTCTGCTGCACTGTTAAATTGCATTCACCTTTTGTGATAATGAAAACAGTCCAAGAACTGTTTTCCTACTTATCCCAGGAACTTCAGGAGAATTTGTATCATTTGCTTTGAATAAAATAGTGCTCTTTCCTGAAGAGCTGTTAAATTGCTCCCTGTTAGCAATAGTGTCAAAGCATATTCACTTTTTGTTGCAACTGTCCAACTTAGATTTGGAAAAGGTGAAGTTATCTTTAATTACACGTGAAAGCTTTTAATAGCTATGGCTGTTTTGGGGGAGAGAGGCAGGAGGTATGGCAGAGTAAAACCTACCTTTGTGTATGAGTGCAGGTTTTCAGTCCTTACTCTGATCTGTTCATTTTAAAGGAGATTCTTTTTCTAGTATGTTAAGCCTAGATTGGTTCTGTTTGCTTATGTAAGACCTTGCACCTTTTCCTTTATGGCCTTCCCTGATGAACAGGTGGCAGCCTGTTTCCTATTAGAAGAATCCCATGGTGAACGAAAATTCAGAAAGCACTGTGGAACACTTGCAGATTCCATTTAGATAACAGATATATCCATGTTATGCACTGTCTTTCAGGCAGTTTGTATGATCAGTTCTCAATGATTTCCATTTTCAGATGTCTTGTGCCTCTTGAATACAGGGAACTTGAGAACTCTTTAAAGGTTAAAGGAATTAGCATGTAAATGCAGTTCTCATGCTACCTGTATATCGTTACTAGGGAGGCATCTTGTGATGGTGAAATTTGTGCTGGTATAGTATATTGATCGTACTATTTCATTTGCAATTACTTGTGTTTTAGAAGTTCTTATTCTCAAGTTCAAGCATCTAATGCTTTCTGTCACTCACCAGAGAAAAAATGTTTAGGAAGGTTTGGACAAAATTCCTCGAGCACCTTGTTGTGAAAAATAAGCTAAAAGTGGAAGCAAAAGTCTTGATATTGAAGTTAATGTAGAGAAAATGTGTTTAGGCTCCTATTCAGTGGGAAGAGAGGAATGTTACAGCTATCCAAGGACCAGGAGGAAAGTGGATGATACCTCCGGATGCCAAAGAATCCATGGATAAAAACAAAATGGGATTAAAAGGTACTTGGGGTTTAACACAAAGGTATTAAGTATTGATTAAGGTGAGTTTGGGTTAAAGCAAAAATCCTTCATCAATAATATAATGGCTAATTCTTGGGGACAGTCTGTCAGGTTGTCTTCTGTAGTCTTAAAACAGTTTGTCATGTCAAAGCTGTGTCACAGATTTTCTAGGACATATGTTAAAGGTGGGCAGTACTAAATATCAACTTTACACTCTAAACAGAATGCATTTCCAAGGTAGTTGATTTACAACAGAATGTAATAATTATACTCTCAATTAATAGTATCTTCATTTCAGTAAAAACCTTTTATAAGAACTCCTGTTCCACGTGAATGAGGGAAACAATTTGGCCTTTGAACAGCTGATTTATATCACTCTGTAGTATTTTTGATGGCACAGAGAATTTCTGTGGCATTTCAGTGTAAGGGTTACAGAGGAATTTGGAGTTCCTCTGTCAGAGTGCCACAGAACTTTACCTAGAGTTTCAACTCTGAAATTTGTAGAATAATATTATCATCTCATTTGTCTTATTATTTCTTGCCTTCAGGCCCTTTAAAAACCCCAATTGCTGCAGGACACCCATCAATGAATCTGCTTCTGCGTAAAACCTTTGACCTTTATGCAAATGTACGTCCCTGTGTCTCAATTGAAGGATACAAAACCCCTTACACAGATGTAAACATTGTCACGATAAGAGAGAACACAGAAGGCGAATACAGTGGAATTGAACATGTGGTATGTTGCTGGAAATGTTGTATTTCTGGAGGGTTTCTATGTTTTGTTAATAACTTTGCCCATCTCAGTCGTTTCTTACTGAGAGGCTGAGTGGTGTTTTTTAAGTTCTTTACCCACAAAAATGGTCTTTTATTGTGGTATGCATTGTGCAGACTGTCTTGCTGAAAATTCTACTATTTTGTTGTTCCAAAGTTTGAAAAAATAAGCTTCTGTTTCTACTAGCAATGCAACTGTTGTCTTTCAGATTGTTGAAGGTGTCGTACAAAGTATCAAGCTAATCACAGAGGGAGCTAGCAAGCGTATCGCAGAGTTTGCTTTTGAGTATGCCAGAAACAATCAGAGAAGCCACGTTACTGCTGTACACAAGGCAAATATTATGTATGTTGAAACTTCCTTTTAAGAACAACAAAAAATAATAAGCTTTTATAAACCGCTTTAAATTTTCCTCAAATGTCTAACATTAATGCTAGCAAGAGTAAGTAAAATGTTTGAAGTAAGTGCCTCATAAGTAAAATGGACAATATTGACCTACTATTAATAGGTCTGGAGTGACCTATTAATGTTTGTATTCTAAATCTAATTGTAAGACTAATGTTTGTATTAGTAAGTCTGTGGGAGTGCTGTGACTTTCTTCCCACAGCTCTTACTTTAAAAATAAGCTAAGAAAAAGAATTTAAAAAATGAGGATGAAAATAGCTAGTGTCCTTTGTAGCTTCCAAAGCACTTCATAGTGAACTGAGTCACACTGCACGTGATAGATAGTACATGTCACCCATCTGTACAAATTTAGTAAGCCTTTAGTAAAAGAACAAGTTGGTTTGGGAATTAATGCGTGACAGTCAAACTACTGCTCCAAAAACATTTTAGATGGGAAT